CATCAAGACCAATCTGACCATGGACATGAAAATGAGGTTGAACCTATAAGAAGTAAAAGGGCAAAGACATCTAAATTTTTTTGTCCTAATTTTCAAACTTATTTGTTAGAAAATGAACCTCAAACTTATAAAGAAGTCATATCATCCCCTAAAGCTCCTTTTTGGAAAGAAGCTATCAATGTTGAAGTGGAATCTATCCTACAAAACCAACGTGGGTGTTGAACCAAAAAAAATTCACAAGAAAATTTGTGGGTTTGGATAAGCCCCACAACGTTGGGTGGGTATGGTCCCTACAGTACAGTTGATTTCGAAACAAATTTGAAACAATGAGTATGTCAAATTGTCTATGATCTTATCCCTAGAGAAAAGGAAGGGATAAATAAAGGAAAAATATAATTTGATTAAGTGGGAGGAGGAATCCAATTTGAACAAGGATTGTTCCATCACAATCACTTTATAAAAGGGGGGAGGATTCAAAGAAAAAAAAAAGGCTGCAGGGCCACAAAGGCAAAGAAGAAAAGATGAAAGGCTGGAGAGAGAAAAAAGACAGAAGCAATCAAAGATGCATCTGCCTCAAAGCTCCTCTCTTGAGGTTCTCCATGTTGGGTGGCAACCCTTTAATCAATCAATTGGATGGCAATCCATGTGATATGGCAACCCTTGAATCAAAATTTCTTGGATGTTCAATCCATCTTTGGGTAATAAACCCTGAAACCAAAGCATTGGGTTTTGCACCTCGAAAACCAAGCTTGGGTATTTCAACCTGAAAACAAATATGGATTTGCACCCTGAAAACAAGTTTGGGTATTGCACCCTAGAAATTAAGGGTGGGCATCTCATCCGAACTATCCGTGTACCGACGGTTTGGTTTGGTTTGGTTTGGTTAATAATTATTTTTTAATTTTAATTATTCCGATACAATCCGTACCGAGATGTTTGATTTGATTAACGGAAACAATATTCCTAACCCGACGGAAACCCGTACCAATCCGATATTTATACTTATTCTATTATTTAAATACAAAACAAGAAACCAAAGATAAATACAATTAGCATTTTGTACAACTCCTTTATTAATGTTGTATCACTTCTTTATCACCTCAGTACTGTAGCACTTTTTGGTCAGAGAGGAATTTATGAATTTCCTATGTTTTCTAGTTTCGACCTTTCTCCCGTTTTTTACCTGTAACCTTCTAACTGTTGATCCAAATTTTATGTTCTTTATCTGATTGGATTCAGCATGAAAAACTAAAGAACCTAACATGAAAAAAAAATTAAAATCATTTACATAAATATGGAGAATTCAGTAAAAAAAAAACACTCAAATGTTCAAACAACAAACACAAGTGGCTCCCAGTACATCTTGAGCATATATTGAATGATATAGTGACTAAGTTATTTCATTCCATACTTGGATGAATTAGACTATTGGATTTTTATATTTTACAAGGATAATTTGGTGTATTTGTTCAAGAACTTGTGTTATGTGAAAGTATTGTAAATTGTATTTTTATTATTATGTTTTTATTACGTTACTACCGGCGTACCGAACCAATCCGAACCAAATATTAGGTTAACTGATCCGAAGCCTACCGAAGTTTTCGGTTTGGTTAACGGAAGATAAAATGGTCTACCGAAGTTTTTAGTTTGATTAACAAAGGAGCTTTCTACCATTCTGAATCGATCTGTGCCCATGCTTACTTGTACTTATGGGTCCTACATTTTTGCTTTTTTTGTTTTTATTTAAGTGTAATAAAATATTCATACAATATTTAAAAAGCCAATTAAAAAGAGAAAATATCATAGGACCGGGACTAACATGCCTTAAAAGACCTGGGTATTTAATTACAAAAATCGAGAGGGCATGAACTAATATGCTTTACGAGTGCAACCACATGATACTAAACTATAATAAACTCTCCTTGTTTTTCATAACTTCTTTGCATGCATAAAACATTAACCATGCACAAATACTGGTGTGCATAATAGAAAGAAGAAAGGTTTATAGATGCAATAGTTGAAGGTGACATAATTTCAACCATTTAGATGCAGAAATAGTGAGACTTAGGCCACTTCCAGCAGCCCCCTAGGGCTCGAGAGGGGGGGGGGGGGGGGGAAGAGCCCAAAGTCAAGTTCCAGCAATAAAGGCTGGCCAGGGCAGGGTGGGGTCCACTAGCCTGAGCTGGCTCGAAGGCAGGAGGAGCCCGAGTGCTGGCCCTAAGGCGCGACTGACGTCATTGCTGATGCCAGCGTCGCGTCAGCAGGCGGGTTTAAATTTTTTTTTACCTTTGGCACGTGCAATGCACGCGCCAACATTAAAAAAAAATTTGCTGCATGCGCGTCAGCTGTCCTCTGCCACGTGGCGCAATCTGGTCCTCCGATTTCCGATTTTTCATCCAATCCAACGGCCTGGAATTTTTCAAGGCAAAAAATTATGAAAAAAAATCTTAAATTTTTTTTAAAAAACCCCAAAAAATACTGAATTTTTTTAAATATAAATATCAATCCCTACTCTTCACTTTTAACAACAAATTCACTTTCTACTCAATAATTTTTTCACTTTCTACTCTAAATTTTTTTCACTTTCAAGTTTAATTTTTCTCTATCAAAGAAACTATTAAATAAAATTCTTTTATTTAAACATTCCATACATAAAAAAACTAACCACAACCAAAGCATTAAAAATATAAAAAAAAACAAACCATAACCAAAGCATAAAAATTTCTCTATCAAAGAAACTATTAAATAAAATTCCTTTTTGAAATTCAGATGAAATTTATATGAAATTGAAATTTTGAAATTTATCTGAAATTTGAAACAAAAATTTATCTGAAATTTGAAACCGAAAATCTTATCTGAAAATCTTATCCGAATATTTTATCAGAAAATCTCATCCGAAAATATTGTCCAAATTAATTGTTTAGGTAAACAAATTTGTGAAAAAAACAAAAAATTGAATAGTACTTGCTCTTTCCCATGACAACTGCTGGAATTGCAATTTACTTTTTACAAAGGCAAACACTATTTATGTGAATAGTATCTGTCCTAGCCCTTCTTGCCATGGCAAAGATTTGACTGTTGACTGGAATTGCAATTTACTTTTTACAAAGGCAAACACTATTTACGTAAATAGTATCTGTCCTAGCCCTCCTTGCCATGGCAAAGGTTTGACTGTTGGAAGTGCCCTTAGTTGGAGCTTGATTTGGGTAAGCCCTTTGCGATCTTTGGAATTTCTAAAATTCTCTTTTTGTCACATCAGTGAAGAAAAAAAAAATTACCCCAATCAAATGTGGCTGTAAAATATTCCTCCTTTATGTCTTTTCCCTTCCACTGTGGCTATTGAAGACCACCAAGTGCAGAATATTTTATCTTTGTTTTTTTCCCCCTAAGACTGCTGAATATTTTTATATAGGTACTTGATGCAGAATATGGTGTGTTTTATATGAAAAGTGTGTTTGTTCTTACTTAAGAATAATGGAACTCGTCCTTGCCTTTTATGTAGTTCCCCCTTTTCTTTTTTTTCCTTCTTTTCTTTTTTTAATAACTTTTTCTTGTTTCTTGTGTTCTTGTTTGTATTTACCTAAATGGAGCAAATAATTTAACTTTGGAATATATCGGTCCAAGTTGCATCTTGTCGGTGAAACAGGGTTTTTTTTTTGGGGGGTAAAAAATAGGGCTGTGTGGTTGGACCGACAAAACCGGCGGGTTATCAAAGATAACATTCGGCAAACCGTTCCGACGACTTGATCGGTACAACCAACCATCGGCAAACCGGCCTTGGTTGATCCGGTAGCAGTTCCTAGTATGGTCTTCCTCCAGTTGTTGGTTATGAGCATTTGGTGCGGTTACCACACCGAACACAGCCCTAGTTAAAAATGTAAAGCAGGTAAGTTTCATACAAATTTGTTAAATGTACGTTTAATTGATGTTATTTGGGCTTCCAGAAGCAGACTGACTTTGGATATAATCAAATGGTGCAGTCAAGCCTCCAAAATAGAAGCTCAATTTCTTCGTCTGGCAACTAAAAAATTTCAGAATAGTTTGAAACGTTGAAAACCATTTTGAACTCTCATGCATGTATAAAAGTTCAAAACCATAAAAACCAACATAAAGGAAAAACAGCTGACAAAAATGGCCACCAATGAAGAAGAGGAAATTCACTCCCAATATGCTATGCAACTAGCAAGCGCATCACTTGTGCCTATGGTGCTCAAAGCAGCCACAGAGCTTGGAGTGTTTGACATACTGCACAGAGCTGGCCGTGGAGCCCTGCTTTCAGCCACCCAAATAGCATCTCAGCTTCCCTCTAACAACAACCCAGGTGCCGATTTGGTTCTTGATCGTATGCTTCGCCTTTTGTCTGCTTACTCTGTTCTCGCTTGCTCTGTCACCTCACACCAAACTGACGGGGAGGCTCTCAGGCTTTATGGGCTGTCACCTG